AAAGTACTGCCTAAATAGGGGAATGCATGCAGTTATATAAAGCACGGATCTATGGTCCAAAACTCCTGCAAGCTCTCTCATAGCTCCAGGAGCAAAACTGAGTAGAATTCTGTAGAAACTGTAAGAATGAGGTTTTAAAAGGAAGTCTGATTGTTTTAAATATAATCTATGTGTCAAGTGACAGAAGTGATATTGTGTTGTTTGGCCTTTGCAAACAGCACTGACATTTTCAACAAATGCTGAAGAAAAGTGTATGGGAGCACAGTGATATATAAACCCAAACCAGTAATTTCTCTTATTTCATACTCTACACAGTCTCAGTGGGTTCCTAAAGTATATATTTGAGATAATAAACATAATTTTCTATGCTACATTTTCTACCAATGAGGAAAAGTGAAAAAGCCAGCAAATTAACCAGAAACAAAAAAGGGGTTTGGAATGCCACTTATCGTACAATTCTTACTAATGCAGAAGAGTTAACAAGGGTTGGAAAAATGTTTCAGACAAGCAGGAGAAATTTCATGTGTAAAGTAAGCGCAGCCACTAAAGAAAGAAAGAAAGAAACAAACAAAAAACAACAAAAAAAAACCAATTTAGTATAGTAGTATCTACGTATAAAGCTTAATTTTACATACAAGCCCTGGGAAAAAGCTTTCAAGGTTTGTTGTGTTGTTTTTTTTCTTTGTTTTGGAGACTATCTGTTAAGAGTTCTGGCAAACAGTGAAATCTGTTAATGGAAATTGCAACAGTTATTTAACATTGCACACTGCAGCAGTAATAGGTTTAAAAGCATCACTATGGACCATGGTCTATAATCTATGTATCCTTCCCCTGAGGAAGCCACTAGAGCTTGAGCTCCTGGTGATATATGGCACTAATGAAAGATCTTAGTGTCTTGTTTGCATGTGCTGTAGTTTAGCATACTTTTAGAAGATTCACACTCGTAAGGCTAATAAGAGGATCTCAAAAGCTGTGGAACAAAAGTGGTTATATTGTCAGTAATTTCAATATTAAAGTTAATTTCCATGAAGATCATAAATGACAAAACTGGGAAGGAAAATTAGCATCCCAATTCCCTTGCAAATGAGACTCAGTCTTCTCAAATTAGTGTGTAAAAATGAAGCTGGTTAACAGAACTGTGTTCATATACTCACTGTAAAACAACACATTTGCCTTCAAAAAATTCATAGACAGTATTGTACCACTGAGCTTCACAGAATCACAGAATCATTAGGATTGGAAAGGACCTCTGGAGATCATCTAGTCCAATCCCCTGCCAAGGCAGGGCCACCTAGAACAGGTTACAGAGGAACTCACCCAGGTGGGTTTTGAATGTTTCCAGAGGGAGATTTTGGTGTACCAGTTGCAGGCTGTCTGATTGCTAACTGCAGATTGGACCTTCAGTGACAAAACTATTTGGAGAGACCATGGGTTATGTGGAACCAGCTGAAAATCAGCATCATTTTAAAAGCAGCTGAGGGTAAGCAAATGTAGCTATGTTTTACAGTAGTTTCAACTAAAAATGGGAAGTAAATTTTTCAGAAAACTATCTACAATTCATCTTAGCTACAGCAGACACAGTAAAAAGTATATTTAAAGAATTTTCAGCCCACTGTAAATATAATACAGGCCCTTTTTTTATTTTATATCTTCCCCGTATCTAGAATCCCACTGCCTGACTCAGAGAGCTTCTGCTGTTTGTAAGGAGTAAGACACCTAAATTTAGCTGCCTATTCATGAGGTGTCTACCTATGAGCTTGTTGTGAGAGTCAGTTACCTAACACAGGCATTTGGTGTCATTACAGTGACCAGCAGTATTCCTTCCCTACCTCTAGCTCCAAACAAGACATAGCTCTCGTGTCCATTTTGTACTGTATCTGGCAGCCCTGGCAGATTCATCACCAGCTCAGCTGGCAGATTGGATTTACTAGACCTCCACAGACTGCAGTCAAACCTTAGATATTGGTTCACATGTAGACACATAAATTCAAAACTCCTAATTCTGAACTGAATCCTGTGCTCTGTAAGACAGAGTATAATACTTAGTGTTTGTAAACATGTTTTAATAAGTAGCTGATGTACCCTGTAAGTATCCTTCAGCTTGACACAATTTAAAACCAGGACTTCCTATTCAGTAGAATAGTTAATGTAACTGATTTGGTTAATTCTAGCCCTAAATTATTATTAAACCTGTAGTAAACATAAGGATTTCCTTAATTTGATGTATATTTTATATTGCAATTTATAGATAACTGACTTTTTGAAAATATAAAAATCACTAGCATATTGAAACATTACATAAAATCAAAATAATTTCTGTGTAGCATTTATCTGAAAAGGAGATAAACTACACATTTGCTTTCTTATAGAAGCTATTTCCATCACAGAATCAAAACAGCAATGAACTGTTTGTCGGGCATTCTTGTTTCTGAAAAGTTCAACTGAACCAATGAGAGTGACTTACGCTATATCAATAGTCACTGTTAGAACTGCAGGTCAAAGCCCTTCTCCATTACACATTACCCTTAAATATTAGCTACACAAAGTTCCCCCAGTGAGTCCAACTGTCCATCTCAATTGCCCCTGCAGTTTAAAGTCAATGTGTGTTACTATTCCCTATCAAGTACAAAGTGCTTTTTAAGATGGTGTTTGCAACTGGAGAGAAAACCAGATTCGACAGAGCTACAGATGTTTTCACTCCCTTTGCTATATATGCAATATGCCATGAAGACTACTAAATGAGAGTTTGTTTAATACCCAGTGATGGAAAGCTATAGTTGTTCTCCCTTCTTTTTTCTGTTTTATATAAGCATTTTTCCAGTAAGTATGCATGAGTATCTGCAGTTTTTCACTGTTGCTCTATCAGAGCCACAGCCATAGGCTTTCAGAGAAAAGTGTTACCTTAACGTACACATTTCTAGCATTTTGTATCCCTCAATGTGATACTTGTTATATATCTATTGATATACTTGTTTAATCAGGGGACCACTTTACTGTCATCATTTTATGTTTAGATACAATTCTGAATATGTAGTACACTCAGAATCAGTATGAGAATATGAATATGAAAGAAAATATTAATTATCTTGGGGGAACAGACAGCGAGTGACAGGAATACAGAAACTACTGGAAAACATTATTCAATTCCCTTGTAAACTTAGTCCATTTATTTTCATATATAGTACAATAAATTTTTAAAGCCATTTATTACCTGTGTATTCACTGTAGAACCTAGTATGAAAACAGGCTTATATACTGCAGTTCTCTAATTAATTTTATGTTGTTTAAATAAATAATTATGTGAAAATCATCTGCTCTTGTTCAAATGCATTATCTGTTTGAAAATTATCCACCTGTTCTCTTCCATATCTCTTACCATCTTTTTTCCCTATTATTTAATTGAATTTCCGTTTTTCAACTTTAAGAGTGCCTCACAGGAAACTGAAATAATAGTATTCAGATTGTGTTACTGGTCATGTTATGCTTGGTTGATTATGCTTGGCTCTTCTAAATGTTTTTAGTATCAGGTAGACACAAAGTTTGTACAACATTTCTAAGGATTTGGGGCAAGAAAGGCTATGAAAGTCCTATTTCAATTAGATTTCATTGTGCATGCCGTTGTTCCTTACTGTCAATACAAATCTCACTATTTTATTTAAAACTCCACATAACAAGGTGATGCTTTAAAGACCTGGTCCCGAGCTCAGTGAAGTGGACTTGGTTTAATTGGATCTTAAATGGGAGGGATTAGAGAAGTGTGGTATATCTCAGTTGGCTTGATTGAACAAAAGGACTGTTTTCTATTTAATAAAAACTGTTGCAAATAACCGAATAAATAATACAGTATAACTAAATCATTTGAAACTAAGTATCCTAGACATTATGAAATGGAAGAATGAAAGAGGGGTTTTATTTTTTGCACAGATAAATTACAGCTACTTCAGAGAAGAAAGAAATGATTCAAAACATGTTGTTTATAATTTATATAGCACTAATATCTTAACTGAAGATCCTATTTTTAAGAGGTTACTTTAAGAAAGTAACTTTCCTAGCTTAATATTGGAAAAAAATACATTAGGAGTCTATATTTTACATTATCACATATTATTCTGAATTACATTCCATTTTCCCAGAATTATTTGTTAGTACTTCTTGTTTGTCTGTGGCTTTTTTCAGCTTTTCTCTTAAACGTGAGGAAAAGGACACCAGTAAATGGACATAACCCAAAATAGCTTTAATCCAGCTCTCTTGCTTGTCTGACTTATTTTTAACAGTGTGAGAAGCACACATCAGGTGGAGATTCAGAACATAATGGGAATGGTAAGGTCATCAGATGACACCAATATTCATATTTTCTGGCCTCAGAAACACCTCTCTGGGGTGTAAAATTCCTTTCTATATGTGTACTGTTGTTGTGCAATGCAAATATGTGTTGCTGTAACCCTTTCATACAAAAGAGAACATTCTGCAAACTACTATACAGGTAAAAACATCTCTTGTCCAAATTCACAATAGTTATGTGGCACCACAGCCTATCATGATACACTGCAATTAAAAGGGAAGAGACAAACCTAAATTTCAAAGCCATCCATAATCCTTCCTCCATCAATGTTAACACTTTATAATATGTGTATGTATATATGCATATATATGTATGTGTGTATTCTACTTTTATAGTAAAACAAGAATTCAGGTTATTGAATTGTTTATAGTAACTGACATATTTGTTGGTTCACTCTTTTTTCATGGCCTGTAAGAAATGTGGGAATCTGTCACTAGCTCTTGGATTTTGGTTTGCTCACAAGGGAACAGAAGAAGGGAATAAAGGAATAAACAGGTCTTACAACCACCTTAAACAAGCCTCACTGAGCAGCTTATTCAGAATGCAATTTATCTTTTTTTTTTTTTTCCTGAGAGCTTTAAGAAAAGTGACAGGGAATACATGGGACAGAGTATTAGAGAAATTGAACCTCAAAAGGGGAGAAAGTGTTTTGTGTTACCTCCTGGTTAGCAGCAGCTAGTTCTTCTTCCAGTGCAGAGACTCTTTCTAAAGAAACCCTCAGTCGTTCCCTTACCTAGAAGAAAAATCAAAATATGTGCAGTAACGTAACTTCTATCAGTCTTTAAAGATTATATAATCTGCCATATGCACTACTGTATGCTCTGCCAGTCTGTTTGCAGGCATGTGTGTTGCATCCTTTCATGAGACCATACAGTGTTGTAAACTTTCAAACCTAACCATGGGAATACTAAACCCATGAAAATACGTGTCAAACTCGAAGTGTCAAACTGCTGTTCCAGTTTGCCTGTATTTTTATGGAATACACAGCAAATGAAAATATTCTAAGATGACACAGAATAAAAATAAAATGTTGTTTACAAGCATGTTTTACAAAGAATAAGAAAAAAAACATTTGCAGATGTTTTAAGTCCCAGTGCATGGAAGATAACTAATCTGTTCATATCAATTGGATTCAACAAATTCATTACAAAATAACTTGCAGCATTGCCTTCAGGCACACATAATAAAGATTTTTTATATCATCATGCAGCTTGTTTTGGTTTTGCAAAAAGTCATAAACAGGATATACTCTCATAAGCAGAAAAGATGGTTGTGCTTGTGCCAGTTTCATAGATGACCTATTGTGTTCCAAGGATGTGTATGATCTACTCAATTATTATTGGTAGTATTGAAATTATGATTAAATGTTAAATATTATATTCATTTAATACTTCTGAAGACACATTTACTGTTGTTTGAGTACTCTGGCTCACCATCAGCTCATGTAATGACAGATAACCTAAGCTGGCAATGGACTACCACTGTCCTAATACAATCAAAAGCAAATCAGACACAGAGGTGACTTTCAGTGCTGGGTGCAGGTGATTCTTCCTCCCAGATATGAAGGGAGCCTATGGCAACTCCTCTCCTAATCTGCACAACTTCATTAGGCACCTGACATTAACCTCATATTACAACCTGTCTCATCAGTCAACACTCAGGATATACTTCTATACAAGTTCCAGCTACACTGCAGCAATGTTCTTCCAGCTGATGATCCAAGGATGTTTAAGGCTATTAGCAATGTTTGTAAGGAAAGTTAGCATATTCTCTTAGACCAAGAGATGCAGCTGGAAAACAAATCAAAATGAAAACCTTTCATGTACAATAGAACATAGTACTTCTTCATGTATATACAATTGCTTGCACACACTTGACAAATACAGGAGATCCCTGAAAAGGTGTTCATGTACTAATGCTTCCGTACTTTTTCCAGTGATATCCTCTTAATCTGATAAACATTAACTTTCCTTACACACTTTTTTTTTCTATTACTACTGATACAAGTGAAATTTTGCAAATAGACTCACTATATCCCAAGAATGGCTTAAGACTTTAAAAAAAAAAAAAGTTTAGCAAAACTATAACATAACATGTTCACTAAACTTTAAAACTAAAGGTCAAGTACATATTCAGGAAATGAACACTAAAAATGAAACCTATTCAGCATTTCTAACAAATGCAAATATAGTTGCTTATGGAGGACTTTGAGGTATTTTGGTCCTCTTTACATTCTTTGGATTTATTAAAAGAAACAAAAAAAGAAAATATATTTCATCTATTACATGAATTATTTGAATACCCTCAGGTAACTATGATTTTATTATATACTAAGCAATATTGCTAGCCTTAACAGATCAGAAATCACAAGTGATTTGCTCAAAGAAGCAAAAGAAAAGTGAGTTGAAGAGTATTAAGGTATATGAAATACTAAGATGCTCTGAAGATTAGAAAGAAACCTCAATTTTTTTAGTCCAATTTCTGATCAATTAATTTCCCTCTATTCCTTCAGCCCTATAAGATTGAAAAGAAAAAAAAAGTTAACTTTCCCAAAGATGCATGTTGTAGCTTAAATGGCCATTTCCTATAGGGTGTGACTATCTAATTAATAGCTGAGCTACAGTAACTGACCGTGCCTGTTCCCCACCTGACACAAGTTTAAGTCATTTTAAGGTGGGAGTGAGTGAGCCATCTGTGAGTGGCAGTGATAAGAGTGAAAATTACTACAAATGACTGTTTCAGTAGGTTTTATACAACAGAACAAGAGAATACAGTCAAAATATTCAATGGAACCTAAAATATTTTTACTATTTATTACATTTTTGTACTTTTTTCATCAAAAATTATGTAAAAATCTTTAATTATAAAGCTTGCTTTCCAAAATGAGCTACATAATTCCTGGAAAGCGTCCTTATAAAGCTTCAGTTTTATGGTAGCACATAAGCTATCGTAGCAGTCATTTTATATGATTTTTTTAGTATTCAATTCTAACACACTTGGAATATGGAAAATTAATTTTAAATATTATATTTACTAATTCTAATTTATTCATATTTTTCATCTAATTCTATTTTTTAGTTATGCTGCTTGCAATCAAAAAACTTCAATTGTTTGAATAGCTGAAAAATGATTTCTTCATTTTCCTATCTCCTATTTTTTAAATCATATTCTGCTTGAAAACCACTATTATCTCTCCAGTTCTTCTATCAGCTTCCAAGGGCTGCTTGATGACCTGCTCCCAGTCAGACTCAAGACAGTACAAGTCTACTATCTCGTACTCGCGTCTTTCCTCTCTCTCTTCTCTTATCGTGCTCTCTGCCTCCACAGATGTTCCCTCAATTCCTCTGTGGATCCTAAAACTCTTTTTATGTATTGTGCTACTCTTACCACCATTTCTATCTTTTACTAGCTCTTCACTATTAAAGTCCATGTCCTATGACTGAGGGGTGTAGTCCTGTGTTCAAGAGTCCTCATTTCAATTTCTCTAACCACAGTGAGAGCTGCTGGCAGATAACAATTTCTTAATGGAAATCTCAGCTGAGATGCAAAAACTCCATGGAAAAATGACAGTCACCTTTCTGGCTTCAGTGCTCTTGGCTGTAAGCACTGCTGGGGGACAAGATGATTGAGAGAAAATTCGGAAGACTGCAGTTGGTAATTTTACTTCAGATTTTTGTGAGTTTCCTGAAACCTCCATATATAAAAGCTGAAGTGTTTTACAAACGAGAATGCATGTTTAAAAAATATGTTATAGTATGTCTAACACTGGCATTCACTTTGAATAGTTAGAATTTGCAAACCAACTAGGCAACATTACTGAGGTCACAGATCCACAGGAGCTGAAATCAGAAAAATTATCCTAATCTTAATCATACATTGTGACACTATAGAACTGAATCTGAGTGGGTTTTATATGGACATTTCAAAGCCTGAAATAAACACTTCCTGAAAATAGTAGGCATTTGTTAAAAAAAAATTTTAAGAGACAATTTTTTTTTAACATGTCACTTTAGAAAAAATTAGGTAGAGAACTAATGTCTTCATTCTGAATATCAAGCTATTATATTCAAATAATTTTCTTTTTCATTCTTGGCCTATTTATTCTTAGTAACAGGGAACATTGTTAGTAACATGGAACAGTACCAGTGTGACACAGAGCAACAGCTGGAAGATGTTTCCTTAGCCTTGCCTTGCCTTCCCTCCTTTCTACGTACACAGTTAAAAGTACTGCTTTTTTATAATGACCTAATCAAAACTGTAGTGGTCCTTGTTCTGTGAGTATAAGAGTTGCAGGAGGAACTGAAAGCAACTCTGCCTTGGCCCAGGAGACTTTTTTTCCTTTCATCTGCCCAGTGAACAACTAATTCATTCACATTTTCCATTGGAAATGTTGCAACTAATTCATCACTTTAAATCACATACATACTGGTTGTTTAAGTGGAGGGAAATCTTTTATCACTGAACAAGACAGGAAGTGTTCTGATCTGAAGGAGAAATCTGCTTCATTTTACAGATCATAAACTATAACTTTATTTCTCACTTTAAATTTCTCAGTCTTCAACTGATTTCAAAATAAACTGGAGGAATAAGACAAAAGCTGAATAAAGATTTCAGGTTTGGTCACTCACATTCCAGGAAAGAATACAAAAGCCACATCAACCTATGTAGTATGCATGTATTTTGAAAATATTTTACTCTGAGCAATATTTACCAGTTAGTAATTGTACTAACGTTTTCCTGAACTTTTAAAGTTCATCTAATAACCTTAGAATCTAAAGACAGGGTAACAGGCAAAGACTGAAAAGCCATATACAAATGCATTGCAAGGACTTTTGTCTTGGATTTCCACTTCAGATTTATGTTACAGCAAAAAAAGCAAACAGAACCATTCTCATTTCTGAGAGGTCCAGGAAAAGGTGGTGTTCCTGGTCACTAGCTTGTCAGAGAACAAGGAGCTGGAACAAATGCAAGCTATTTTTATCTGATAATATAGAGGGAGGAGGTATGTGTGTGATTCATATTATAAATGCAAATTAGCAATTAGAATATTATGTTATTTATCTTGTGGAAGTGAAAGACAGTAAGTAACTACAGTTCAGAAAAGTAAGCATTATCTCAGTGAGACCGTGTTTATCGTTTCAGAAATAGCATACTACTTAAATTTCACAAAGTCCTTCAATGTATTTCTATTTTCTTTGCACTAGGTAAAGCTTCACTAAATAAACTTTCACAAAGCAAGAGTAATCAGATGTCACCTGATCAGAACATGCTATAACATGCACGTTTCAAGGACAGATTTCTATTAGAGTGCTGAGCAAAGGGGTTGCACAGCAAGCAAAGGGTTGGATACATCCTCTAACATGTGCCAGATGACTGTGTATTCCTCTGGCTTTTAAATGCAACCGCATTATCTTGAAATATAACATAGTCAATGTCATGTTAGCACTGCTGTTGGTGCAAAATATCACCCATCTTTCTCTGTCTCCTAGCAACTACTTCCCACATTTTCCCTTGCTGTCAAATTCTTTCTTCATTCTTTCCAGGTCTGCAGCCCACAAAGAGCTTTTAAAAAACGCTTGCACATGCTACCATTGAATATCTTTTTTTTTTTATTGTTTCATGAACAGTCTATTGAACAAAAGCTCTCCTAGCTACGTGCTAATGAATAAAATGATAGTGATAATGTTCACATGACCAGGTTGATTTTATTTGCAAGAATATCAGGTATACTTT